GATATATCTAGAGAATGCAAGACTGATTCAACATCTGAAAATAAAGCAACATAATTAATCTTATTAACAGACCATATGATCACCTCAATAAATACAGTAAAAACATTTGACCAAACTCAACATCCACTTATTAAAAATTCTTGACAATTTACGTCATAAAAGGCCTAGTATACTAAATGTGAGAATACAAAATATATATTAATATATAATAATAATTTGATAAAAAGGCCCCATTATACTTAAAAATGGAAGACTGGAACCAACAAGTCAGTTCTAAAAACATTTTATGGAAAAACAAAAAAACTAAAATGGCCAGGATGATTCTGAAAGAGAGTAAGTCAGGGGGCACCTGGTTAAGTGTCAGACTCCTGATCTCGGCTCAGGTAAAGATCTCGCAGTTCATGAGTTCAAGCGCCATTTTGGGCTCTGCTCTGTTAGTGCAGAGCCCGCATGGAGTTCTCTCTCTCCTTCTCTCTCTCAAAATAAATAAATAAAATTTAAAAATTAAAAAAAAATAGTAAGTCAGTCAAAGAAAAATACCATATGATTTCATTCTTATGTGGAATTTACAAATGAGCAAAGGGACAAAAAAAGAGGGAGGTACAAACCAAGAAACAGACTCTTAGAGAACAAACTGATGGTTACCTGAAAAAAGATGAGAGAATGGGTGAAATAGATGATGGGGGTTAAAAAGTGCACTTGTGATGAGCACAGGGTGATGTATGGAAGTGCTGAATCACTATATTGTACACCTGACACTAATATTACACTGCATGTTTACTAACTGAAATTAAAATAGAAACTTAAAAACAAAACAAAATGAGTATTGCAAATAAATAAATAAAGTCATGAGTACTCACACTACCCGATTTCAGGGCTTACTGTAAAGCAACAATAACCATGACAATCTGGAACTGGAAAAATGACAGGTATAAAGATCAAGGATTTAGTCCAGAAATAGACTCACATATATGGCAACTGATTTTTAACTAAGTTACTTCAATGAGGAAATCAAAGAGTTCCTAATAAATGGTGCTAGAACTGAGAAAACAACTTAAAATGTATGATACACCTTGTCATAAAAGCCAAAACTGTAAAACCTGTAGAAGAAAACATAATCTGCACAACTTCACACTAACCAAACTTAGAACAAAGAAACACAAATCATAAAAGATTGATGAATTGAATTTAATAAAATTTAAAACGCCTCTATTCTGAAAAGTTAGGAAAATAAAAAGGTAAGCTTCAGACTGCATTATGTGTATATGAGTCTGTGTGGGTCAAAGGACTTCCACAAAAAATGTATAAAGAATTCTTAACAACTCAGTGAGATAAAAAACTTAATGTAAGAACAGGCAAAAGATTTAAATCAATACGTCACAAAGGAAGAGACACAAATGACCAAAAGCAAATTCTCAGAATCATCAATCATCAGATAAATGTAAATTAAAATTAGAGGGTGATATTACTACATACCCACTAGCAGGCCTAAATTGAAAAAATTTGAAACAACCAACTGTTGATGAGGGTGTAGTGCAACTGGAACTGTAAGTGGGAAACAGTGTGGCAGGTTTTTATATTCAAACATTCAGTCACCATACAATGCAAGAGAGTTCATTCCTAGATATCTACCCAAAAGAAACGATAATGTGTGCTCACACAAAACTTCATGAATGGATGATCATAGGAGCTTTATCAGTAAAACCCCAAACTGGAAACAATCCATTTATCCGTAAATATGTGAAATGGTCAACAAACTGTGGTAAATCAATACCACGGACTACTTAACTATTCAACAATTAAAAATCGTGAATCAGTTAAACACACAAAAGCACGTAGGATTCCCAAACACATCATTCTAACAGAAAAAAAAAACCTAGATATAACAGAGTATGTAATTCCATTGACATGAAATTCTAGAACAAATGAAAACAATTTAAAGCAAGGAAGAAAGGACAATGGTTTCTTGGGGCTGAGGGTTAAAAATGTCACCGTACAGGGCAGAAGGGAACTTTTGGGGATGAGAGAAATATTCTACATATTGATTGTGGTAATGAAAACATTCTACTCTTGAATGTGGTGGTGGTGACAGGGGCCTATATACTTGTCAAGACATACTGAACTATTCTAAATACACGCATTTTTCTGTATGTAAATTGTCCTCAAAAAAGGTAATTCTTTAAAATGGAACTCTCTTGGGAAAATATTAACCAAGGAATATTGATGATGCCCTTATATAAACACTAAAAAGAAATGAAAAACATGAAGAAAATTCAATACCCACTATGGCTTTTAAGAATGTCATCCGAGGGGTGCCTGGGTGGCTCAGTTGCTTAAGTGTCCAACCTCGGCTCAGGTCATGATCTCATGGCTTATGAGTTCGAGCCCTGCGTTGGGCTCTGTGTTGACAACTCAGAGCCTGGAGCCTGCTTCAGATTCTCTGTCTCCCTCTCTCTCTCTGCCCCTCTCCTGTTCGTGCCCTATCTCTTTCTCTCAAAAATAAACATTTAAAAAAAAATTTTTTAAATAAAAAAAATGTCATCAGAAATAAAAGATAATAAAATCATCTTAGAAAGTCAAGAACAGAAGAAAACATTTTAATTTAATATTCCCTTTATCAGAAAGTTTTATCGATGCTGAAAAAAAACCAAAAAACCAGAAGCATTCCCCTCAAAGTCAGAAACAAGTTTTCAGCTATCCCTACTATTATTCAAAATTATATAGGAAGTATACCAGCCAAAGCAATGAGGAAAACACCTAATTTATAAAATATGAAAAGAAAGCCACAAAGCTGTGAAAACTTTCAGATAATCATCAATTCAAGTGATTAGATATATAATAAACAAAAAATTCAAAAGTTGCCCTGTAACCAGAGAAAGAGAAGAGAAAATATTACTGAAAGTTTCCACCCACGAGGGCAAATCAAATCATAAGATAGCCAGAATATTAGAAAGGAATGTGATACATATGCAGAGAAAAAAAACAACAACCTATGAAACTCTACTCAAGAATATAAAGCAAGATGTGAATACAAGAAAAAGACATACCATATATGCATACTTTTCTGAGGGGAGAGGCTCAGTATCATACAGGTCCGTTTATCCCAAAACAATCTAAAATTTCAGTATGACATCATTCAAAAAACCCAAGGATTTTTTACTTAATTTATAAATGGAGTCTAAAGTTCATCTAGAAAAGAAATGCATTGGGAGTCGAGTAATTTTGAAAAAAGGGGAAAGTGGTTATGAATATTTTAAATATGCATACCCTTTAACCCAGGAATTCCATTTACAGGAATCCATGCTCCAGAAATAATCACATACAGAGGAAGTTTCCCAAACAGTTGATTTTTACGATTAACGTAGGACTAGAAGGGGGGTGGCAGCTGCACTTTTTACCTTACATTCTCCCACACTGCCTGAATTTTTTAAAACTTATTAAGATTTGAAGTTTGTAATTAAAAATCAATCAAAACATTAAAAAGTTGGCTTCAAATAAAGCACTGTGATTGCAAATAAAAAATAACTGTCTTTTAATAGAGAAATGGTTAATTATAGTTTATTCAAACTAATGAAATATCACTTAACCTTTGTCAGTATCCAAAAGACCTACGCATAACAAATAAAGATGTGCAACACATATAAACAAGTGAAAGAAGCAAGTGATATACCAATGTGTCTGGTATTCCTCTCACCACCCTCCCAAAACCCAACTTTACATGTATGTAAATGTGTTCAGAAATGCATTTAGAAAGATGCATAGTAAATGGTTAACTTTAGACAGTGGAGTGGGGCTGGGGGATGAAAAATGTTCACTTTTACCTAACGGTCCTTTTTCTATTTTGTTAAATTTTACATTGAGCTTGCATTTCTGCAATTAATTTCTTACACTTAAAATTCATTTTATATAAAAATGACATGAATTCTAGGAGAAAAAAACTAAAAAAAATAGTTTAAACGGTTGCTTCTGTTATGTTTATTTACATACTCTTCAAATGTCCTGTAGTCTTCAGCAGAGGTGACTGCCATTTTAAGAAAATTTAAATGATCATGATAAAATATAACAATACAGTAAGGCTTTTTTCTTTTTTTTTAAGTCGTAAACTTCACAGAAACAGCAGACTCAAAGCAGGGTCCATGCATACGCAAAAAAATTTTAATGCCTTGGAGAGGGAAGTCTAAACAGATTGTTCTTCCTCCTTGCAAAAAAAAGAGTATTTACCTCCTCCTTTTTTTTTTCCTTCAACTTGGTCTGGGCAACTTTAAACTCACCATTTTGAATGTGCGCAAAATGATTCACAAGCAGTAATCTTAGGGAGGCCAAAACTGGAGGCGGATCTGAGAGAGGGGTGCCCAGACCTGACATGGCTAACCGGGAGAAGCACTGATGGAATGGTGGTAATATCGGGAGAAGAACGATTGCTATGATTTGTACAGGGTGTCTGCGTACCCGAGCCTTGGTGACAATCGGGGAAAATGCAAATAACAGCCAGGAGAGGGACCGCACCGGAAGGTTTCTCGGGGGAGGGGGACTGCAGGCCTGTGGCGTAAGATGGATCAGCTCTATGTGGGGTGACTGGAAATGGGCAGAGAAGGCGGCTATGAGATTTTGGTGGGGGGCACATTCACACAGCCGCCAGGGTCGGCAGAAAGGCAGCGGGGTCCTTGGCCAAGGCACCAAGGGCAGCAGAGCGGCAGCAAGGAAGAGCGGCCAGTGGAGACCCCGAGAAGAATCGATGCCATTCGCCGGGGCTAGCAAGCGCGGTGGCCACGGACTCGAGCGCGGCCCCAGGTCCGGGTTGGACCGGGCCCAGGAGGCGAAGAAGGCCTCTCACAGCCATCAACCCCACCCACCATGGCCGGCGCAGCGGGCAGGGACAGGCCCCACTCCTCGAGGAAATTAAGAAACGGAGGGGGCGAAGGCAGCAATTTCCTCGCCCCGACCCTCATATTCCTGACATCAGAACAAGCCAGATTAAAAAAAAAAAAAAATCCCCTCACCGAACTGTGCAGCGGCTCCGGAGCGAGAACAGCGCTCGATCCTCCACCCGCCACCACCGCCTTCTTCTCCGCCTCCGACTCCTCCCCCGCGGAACGCGCAGCGGCAGGCGGCAGCGGCGGCGGCGGCGGCGGCGGAAGCAGGGAAGGTGGCGGCGCGTCCCGCCCCTTGCGCCGCGGCAGAGGCGAAGGGGGCGGGCACTCAAGCCCCGCCCCAAAGCCAGCGCCGACCAATCGTCTCAAAGGACCTCTGCGGGAAAATTCCACTTGTCCAATCGGCACCCGAGGAGTGGGCTCACGTCAATGGTTGGGACGTGGCAGAAAAAGGGAAAAATACTTGGACTGTGTGTACTCTCTGGTACTCCCTTCTTGTTCAGAAGGACTTCACCGATTGGCCGAAGAGAGGAAGGATGAAGCCACACTCCCCCTGCTCTCAACCCCGTCCGGGTCTGGGCGCACCTCCTTTCCCCGCAGCACTGCGACGTTCGGGGAGGGGGCGGGGCACCGTGATGGGGCTGGAACAGCACGGCCTTTTGTGGTTTGGGCTGGGAGAAGAGGCGGGGTCTCAGGGAAGGGAAGGGGGTGTGGAGAACCAAGGGAGGAACTGGCGCAGCTAGACTTTTTCAGAAAACCCAAAGCAGCCACCAAAATGGAGGCTTTAAAATCAATCCTAATTCGACTGGAAACCTGACTAACAAGGTTAAGGTCTCCTGGCATAAAGTTAAATGGGTTGCAGTTCAGATATGGGTGGGACAAGAAAAAATAGATGGAAGAAGGGCACATTTGCCCACCCTGGCTCTGCGCACTATCTAGTGGGTTTTCCCCTCCCGCTTTACAATGAGACCCTTGCATCCTTGTTTCTCATTCTGTTGGGGGCAGGGCATAGCGGACGCTTGCGTTCGCTCTCTAGCCCTTGCCTGGCTAGAACCTTCCAGTTGGCGTCTAGAGGCTAATTGGCTCTAAAGCCGAGAAGTCACAGCTCCCGTCACATGCAACCAAAATAAATACAACAACTGTAATCCCTGGACATCTTGCTTAATTTAAACACCGGTAACAGTTTACTGAATCATGTCAGTGATGCTAAGTTGTTTCTTTGTCCCGGACATATCCTTTCTACTTCATCCTGAATATGTCCGCTTTTCGGATTACAGTCCTGCTCTCCTGCCACCTTATTCCCCAACCCCCTCAACTCCTTTCATGCATATGCCCAGGGCCCAGGATATATTTATCATTTCCCTTCCCCCAAGGATTAAGAGCCCCACTTCTTGTGCTGTCCCTGGCAACTGCAAAACCTGCCATTGATCTGAGACTCTCTCTTTTTTTTTTTTTTTGCTGTTGATTAAAACAAATTATCCAAACTTTACTATGGGAACTTCAGTTATGAGAATTTGCTATAGACGTTTTGTGCAACCAAATCCAAGTCTCAGCCCACCCATGTAGTACATTTTTTACCAAGAAACCATTTCCCGCTTGATATTTCTCTACACACGTTGCTCTAGAAGCTGTGGCTCTTTTTCCATCCAAGTTTCTTCTCCCACTTTGAAAGATAATTCATACTTTAGTCACATTTCCTTAATCTTCTTTGGGATGCTGCATACTGATCCCATTGGATATACCAACATGTTTGTTGGGCAGGATTTCTCAAATTTCAATATTTTTCATACCATACCTGTGTATACTGCTCACAGTAGTATTTATTATTTTCTTTAAGTAAACGTATTTTTTTCAATTTCTTTAGAGGGAAACTTTATAAAAGTACTATGAATGGAAAACCTCCATCATCCATTCTAGTTTGAAAGTAACTGTAAGAAAAGTGAACAAAGCAATTTTTAAAATGATGGCTAGGAACTATTGCCTGCTAAAGTCTCTGAGCCTAAACCCCACTTCCTGTTAAAAGGGTCAAAAGAGTCTGTTACCAAGCATTAGACACATATTAAAGATCAAGCACACAAATGGCATTTTATCATGATGTAATCAAAGGATAGAAAATAGAGCTAAAATAGGAATCACTTTCTCACTATGAGTCATTGTTTTTAATCCTGCATGCATGCCCTAACTAAAGTCATCTAAGGCATCAGAAGTAATCTATGTTACTTTTTGGGAAACACTGCTGTGGAGGCTTAAAGCATGTATTCTATAATCAAGCAGACCATATTCTCATAATAGCTCCTGCATTTATAGCTGTGTGCCTCTGGACAATCTATTTACCTCTCTGGCCTCTATTTCCAATTTAAATATGGAAAAAGTAATAACATTTACTTATGAGTCACTGCATAGATTAAATAGCTTAATAAAGGTAAAGCATATCATACCTACCATGTGTATGTACTAAATACATATTAGCTGATGTATTATATTTTATATTATATTATATTATATTATATTATATTATATTATATTATATGTAGAGAGAGATGATAATAATATGTATTATTGGCTTATACATGTAATTGTTATTGGTTCCAGAGAGGAGAAGCATGTCTTAAGGCAATGAGTTGAAGATGTGATGTAAAACAGTGGTCCTTAAAGAGTGATACAGACCAACAGCATCAGCATTACCTGGGAACGTTTTAAAAATGCAAATTCTCAGGTAGGTACATCCTCACACCTGATTTGGAAACTCTAGCTGTGGGGTCCAGCAATCTGTAGCTTAGCAAGTCTTCCAGATAATTCTGATGTATGTAAAGTTTGATGACCACAGATATCATAGAAAAAGAACTGACTGGTCAAGGAGTGAGAGGGCCTGAGTTTTAATTATAGTCTTTAAGTGACATCAGCAAAATGGAGGCATAAGGACCTCTGTAAGGTCTTTTCTCCACAAAAGCAGTGAGAAAACAGGCCATTTTGTCAGAGTCAACTTTTTCCAAATTCTGGATATTAATCAAAGACTTGCAGCAATCCAGGAAGCATTTATTCAGGGAAACAGCTGAATTTCTCAGTAAGAACAGTAAGCTTTGCGATGTTGTGACTTTTTCTAACCCCATCCCTCCAGCTCCAGCTCTGCTTTTGCACTGAAAAACAATAGCCCACAATCATGGGGAAAACCAGCAGCCTGGCAGCCACCTGATGAGGCAGAGTGAGACTGGAGTGCCTTCAAAACCTAATTCTAAGAGAATAATTTCACCTACCTGTGGTTCCCTAGAAGATCTCACTTGCAAGGCTGCCTTCATTTGATTTGATTCAGAGCCAATCCAGTGCAAAAAGCCTTCTCCCCAGAAGCATTTGTCAAAAAAAAAATGAGAGGGAATCAATTAACTTTCCTGTCACCTTAGACAGTAGAAAACAGTTGGGACAAAAAATAGATTAACCAAAAAGCTTAAAAGGAAAAGTTGGAGAAGGTCCTGTAGGAATTTTGAAAATCTCCAACATATTTATAGGAACCTAGAAACCCACACACATGCCCAGGGCTGCACTAAACTGCATAAGATCAGGAAAGACCTGAGGGGACCCTAAGCATTCACCATATGCTGACCTTAAGGCTCTGTAAAAGTCAGAAATGAAGGCTAAGGGAGAGTTGGCAATGCCTGGCTTACTGTTGAATCTAAGCCCCAGCACACACAGACCCTCAGTAAGCACTGGGAGACATACTGGTTCTAGCCATTTAAGGAAATCTGTCCCATTATTAGCTGAGCCCTAAGTTAACCAAGCAGAATCCTCCCTGGCTACACATGACAAAGAATACAGATTGTGCAGGTAGTTCAGAAAAGTCACTGAACAAACAAAAAGCATCTATAACAAACAGCAATAACAAAAATCCCCAGGGGATGAAGAAGAATCTGATTTCCAGAGTTTCCACGTTATGTTTTTTAAATGTCTAATTTTCAACAAAATCAAAAGTTGGTTCTTCAAAAAGATCAACAAGATTGACAAACCTTTAGCTAGACTGAACAAGAATAAAGAGAGAAGACCCAAATTACTAAAACCAGGAATGAAAGGGACATTACTACTAATGTTAGAGAAACAAAAATAAAATTAGAAGGGCAAACTAAACATCTGTATGCTAACAGTTTAGAAAACCTAGAAAAAAATGGACAAATGCCTAGAAAGACACAAATCATAAAAACTGACTCAAGAAGAAATAGAAAATCTAATTTTAGCCTTGTCATTTATAAACTGAATGACCTTAGTTTAGGTTGATCATTTAATTGTCTTGAGCCTTAGTTTCTTCAACTAGAAAACATATAATAATCCCTATGCCATATATTTAAATGAGGTGATAGAGAGGTTTTATTAGGTATACATTAGGTATATTAAGATATTTTACCCACTCTATGCTGACAGCATTGAGCCTGCTTGAGAATCTCTGTCTTCTTCTCTCTCTGCCCCTCCCTACTCATGGTCTCTCTCTCTCTCTCAAAAATAAATAAACATTAAGAAAAAGTAAGATACTGCAACCAATGAAACAACTCTTAAAATCCTTAAGACTCAGTAGCACCTACACAAGATTATTTATTATTTAAAGTTTATTCAGTAGGATGGGTGGGAAGCTCTGCTTCACATTTTGGGACCTGAGCTCTATCATCTTCAATACATGGCTTTCATTAAAAGTCTGAGTACCAACATCCAGCCAATAGAATGAAGGAAGGATGGAGAGGAAAAAATGTGAAAGATTTCGGAGATTTTTATTAGCCTACCATGGATATAGTCTAGCCATTCAGGATCGTGATCTGCCAGCAGATCACCTTGAACCCTACGGAGGCTTGGTTTTAGGCTATGTTAGACTGCTCTATTTTTGTTTTGTCCTTACTCTTAGGATGTGGTCCTTATGCCTAGGGTGTGGTTCTGACTCTTAGAATATCACCCTTCAGGGTCTCAACTAGAAGCCTGGGATATTTACTGAGATCCCTCACTCTTGGCAGGACTTAAATTCCTGCTTTTGACTCCCAGGCTGTATGACTACTGAAACCTCTGCTTAGTTCTTTAGACTCTCAGTCACTGTTTCCTACTGGGTTTCTTGAAGTTTTGCTCTGCACCATTTACGAGTCAGCCAGCAACTTAAAGGGAATTCATATGAAGGTTTGGAGGTTCCTTATTTGCAGTTCTTTCCTCTTGGGAGAGTCTCCACTATAGTTCAGCCATTTTGGCAACTTTGTACTCTGACCCTTTCCTCCTCC